ATTTGTGGGGTTGTTTTCACTACTTGTAAGACTGCTATTTTATAGGTTGTGCTGTATGCTGATATTGAGGAAATGATGCCGTCTCTTCATGAATTAGCCAATTCAGAAGCAGTACGGAATAAATTGGATGCTTTCGCTAGTCGCATAGGATGTGATATGACCAAGCTTGTCATCTACCTGTCGGATTTGCAGGGTATCGACATGGAGTAGGTGTCAACCAAATGGTTTCCTATTTTTATACCTGTTATCGTACGAAATTGAGCAAGAGCATGGAAAATTGGTGCCAAAGAGCTCACCAAATGGTTATTTGTTTGTATATGCTTCGGTAATCGGACATAGTGTTTGTTCTGTATGGCTATGGTTTGACATCAATTCTCTATGCTCGTGTTCATTCATTTCAAACTGAATGTTGGAGTCAAATTATTGCAAGAGTGCGCCAGTCATCGACTAATTGACCGCTCAAGAGCTTATGCACTTGTGCATTGTGAGCGCTCCTTCAATTAAACCTCTGTATGCCGGTGAAACCGATTCGAATTGGGGTGGCAGTTTTTTTTCGATGCTCTAGCCGAGCCTTAGCCTTTCGAAGGACACGAGCTTTTACGGTTGGATAAAAATCTCTGCCATTCTTTTGTTTACTGGTATGCTTTTTGCAATTCGAATCCATTTCATTGGGCTGCTTTCACTTTTGGAACGCCCCGTCAGGGTGTGTACAGTCCATATCTTGCCGTATACTGATTTGGCGTGACGGTATTCGCGTGGATAAGCTGTTTCCAACATCTTTTATTGATGAACTGCGACGGCTGCCACGTCAAATCCGTAGACACGCCTACTTAGACGAAGAGAAATGGACTGTATCATGTGAAGTTCGGTAGGTTATTGACTTCGCATTCATATATTAAATATTCTCTCTTCATATGATGTGCTGATGTGGCGATCGATACAGTTGAAGTGGTCTTACAAGTAGTTGAAGTCAACTTTGTGCTTATGAGATACCGTGCCTATACCATGGTGGCATTGGGGAATGACTAGACTAGTCAACCGGTGAAGCTTAAGAGTGTGCTGTTCCTGTTGAGATGCAGTTGTATAGTTGTATTCTAAATTTAGTTCACGTGGCAGATAGTAAATGAAAGCTTTCACCTTTTTGTATGGTTTATTCTAGGGGTTGTCATCGTGTTGCATTTTTGGTACAT